GTGCTGAGGTGACATGTACCCAGCCAATATGGAGATAGTTGAACTCCCCTATTATTAATTATTATTATTATTAGAGTTTTCTATTTTTATAGCCTCTCTAATCTCCCTTGGCATTTCACAAGCATCACCACCATCTTGGTCAGGTGATCAGTAGTATATCCATACTGCTATACTCCAATTATTCAAGCCTGGAATTTCTATCCAGAGAGATTCTATGGGACAGTTTGATTCATTTAAGAGTTGTTCTATATTTGACTCCACGCTTTCTTTCACAGACAGTGCCACTTCCCCCACCAGCGCGATCTACTCTGTCATTCCTATATAGTTCGTACCTTAGTATTACCTTGTCCCACTGATTATCGTCATTCCACCAAGTTTCAGTGATGCCGACTATGTCAATGTCCTCATTTAATACCAAGCTCTCGAGCTCCCCCATCTTACTATATAGACTTTTAGCAGTCGTATACAAGCACTTCTAAAATTGGTTAGTATTTAGTTGTCTGCTTCATGTGAGGTAACTGAATGGGACTCTTTCATTTGACTGTTTCTCTTCATTTCCTACCTGCAATTTATCCACTTCTATCCTCTCCCCTTTACTAGGGCAGAGAATCCCAGTGAAAGAATGCTCCCCTAAGGGATGTCTCTGTCCGAACCATGTGCTCCTCCGTATCTGTCGACTTCTCCCAGCCATTAGTTTCAAAACTCCTCTACCACCTTTTAAATTGTATATGCCAGCAATTTGCGTCCATTTTGGTTCAGGTGGAGCCCATTTCTCCTGGATAGGCTCCTCCTTTCCCAAAGGGTTCTCCAGTTCCTAATAACCCTAAACCCCTCCTCTTACCTAGCAGTCTCTCTTCTAGCTTTCCCTATGTCATTGGTACCTACATGTACCATGACCACCGGCTCCTCCCCAGCACTGCACATGAGTGTCTAGATGTTTTGAGAGATTTGCAACCTTCACACCTGGCAAGCAATTCACCATGTGGTTCTCCCAGTTATCACAAACCCAACTAGCTATATTTCTAATGATCAAATCCCCCATTACTGTTACCTGTCTCTTCCTAATAACAGGGACTCCCTCCCCTGGAGGGGTATCGTCAGTGTGAGACGATACCATGACATCACCTGAAGGAGGGTCCCAACTATGAGACTGTTTTCTTCTGTTCCAGTTGGATGTTCTTCCTGAAACTTTCATCCTCCTCAACAGCACAGAAGCGGTCAGCCTGGGGATACAACCACACTGCAGTGTCCCAGAAAGTGCCCCATCTGTGTTCCTCTCTGTCTCCCTCAGTTCCTCCCCGTCTCCCTTAGTTCCGCCCCTTCAGCCACTCTGGTCTCAAGAGCCTGTACTCAGTCCCTCAGGGCCCTGAGCTGCTTAAATTGTCACATATTTAAACCGTATATTCAGATATTATCTAACACTAGGGTGAAGGGATTTAGGGGAGGGAAAGGAAAGTAGAGAGACAGAAAATGAGAATGTGGTGAAGCTGCTGAACTTGGGGGGAATATAACATGCTGTCTATGGAATTATGTATCATAGAATCATAGGACTGGAAGGGACATCGAGAGGACATCTAGTCCAGTCCCCTACACTCATGGCAGGACTAAGAATTATCTAGACCATCCCTGATAGGTGTTTGTCCACTCTGCTCTTAAACATCTCCAGTGATGGAGATTCCACAACCTCCCTGGGTAATTTATTCCAGTGCTTAACTACCCTGACAGAAAGTTTTCCTAATCTCCAGCCTAAACCTCCCTTGCTGCAATTTAAGACCATTGCTGCTTGTCCTCTCCTCAGAGGTTAAGAAGAACAATTTACCTCCCTCCTCTTGTAACCAACTTTTATGTACTTGAAAACTGTTATTACGTCCCCTCTCAGTCTTCTCTTCTCAAGACTAAACAAACCTAATTTTTTCAATCTTTCCTTGTAGATCATGTTTTCTAGACCTTTAATCATTTTTGTTGCTCTTCTCTGGACTCCAGTTTGTCCACATCTTTCCTGAAATGTGGCGTCCAGAACTGGACACACTATTTCAGATGAGATCCAATCAGTGCCGAGTAGAGTGGAAGAATTACTTCTCATGTCTTGCTTACAACACTCCTGCTAATACATCCTAGAATTATGTTTGCTTTTTTTGCAACAGTGTTATACTTTTCATACATATTTAGGTTGTGATCCACTATGACCCCCAGATCCCATTCTGCAGTACTCCTTCCTACACAGTAATTACCCATTTTGTAAAAAGAAAAGGAGTACTTGTGGCATTTTGTATGTGTGTAACTGACTGTTCCTTCCTAAATGGAATACTTTGCATTTGTCCTTATTGAATTTCATCCTATTTACTTCAGACCATTTCTCTAGTTTGTCCAGATCATTTTGAATTTTAATCCTGTCCTCCAAAGCACTTGCAACCCCTCCCAGCTTGGTATCATTCACAAACTTTATAAGTGTACTCTCTATCCCATTACCTAACACGCTGATGAAGATATTGAACAGAACCAGACTCAGAACTGATCCCTGCAGGACACCACTCAATATGCCCTTCCAGCTTGACTGTGAACAACTTATAACTACTCTCTGGGAACGTTTTTCCAACTGGTTTTTTGCACCCACCATCTAGGTTGTATTTCCCTAGTTTGTTTATGAGAAGGTCATGCAAGACAGTACCAAAAGCCTTACTAAAGTCAAGATATACCACGTCTACCACTTCCCCCCATCCGCAAGACCTGTTACCCTGTCAAAGAAAGCAATTAGGTTGGTTTGGCACGATTTGTTCTTGACAAATCCATGTTGATTGTTACTTATCACCTTAGTATCTTCTAGGTATTTGCAAATTGATTGTTTGATTATTTGTTCCATTATCTTTCTGGGTAATGAAGTTAAGCTGACTAGTCTGTAATTCCCCCGGGTTGTCCTTATTTCCCTTTTTATAGATTGACACTATATTTGCCCTTTTCAAGTCCTCTGGAATCTCTCCTGTCTTCCATGACTTTTTGAAGATAACTGCTAATGGCTCAGATATCTCCTCAGTAAACTCCTTGAGTATTCTAGGATGTGTTTCATCGGCCCTGGTGACTGGAAGACATCTAAGTTCTCTTGAAGTGTTAGTTCCCTATTTTGGCCTCTACTCCTACATGAATCACTATGTTAGACGACCAATCGCAACTAAACTTTTTGGTGAAAATCAAAACAAAAAAAGATCATTTAGCACTTCTGACATTTCCACATTTTCTGTTACTGACAATAACAGAGAATGTGGAAATGTCAGATGGACGGACGAACAATAACAGTTCTCAAAGAACTCATTGAGTAAGGGGCCTACTCTGACCTTGGTCTTCCTCTTGCTTCTAATGTATTTCTAGAATGTTTTCTTGTTACCCTTTATGTCTCTAGCTAGTTTGATCTCATTTTGTGCCTCGGCCTTTCTAATATGTCCCTACATACTTCTGTTATTTGTTTATATGCATCCTTTGTCATTTGACCTAGTTTCCCTTTTTGTAGGGCTTCTTTTGAGTTTCAGCTGGAGATTTTAACAGTCTGAGCTGAGAGTCACTAACACTGCATGCTCTCAGAGTCTACCCTTCCAGACTGGTGAGGGCCACAAAAGTTGCAAAAACACCACATCACTAAACAGCAGCCTGTCCTGCATACAGAGCGCTGTCCCAGACAGACTGACATTTCAAAGGTGTTCAGTTACCAAGGGAATGTGGAGAGAGAGAGAGGCTGGAGGGAAAACAAGGAGAAAGAAATACCCAGAAATATACAGGTCCCCCCATTCATGATATGCTGGAATAAAATAGTCCCCTGCTGTAGCTAACTTTACATGGCCAGCAGTTTAAATACATCTGAGTGAAGTGCAAGGTCAGTTTCCAAATCAAAGAGTCTCTTCTCCTCTGTTTACCTGACCTCTCTGCTACCTCTGTCACCACTGACCACTCACGTTGATACCACCACCACCCCCTACCCCGTCTTGGGCTCACAGGACTCTGTCGTTTCCTGGCCCTCTCCTCTTTCTGACCGTTACCCAAGGAGAATCCTCTTCCTCTTTCCTCCCCCTGGTACATGTGCCTCAGGGATCTGTCCTTGGTCCCCTTTATTCTCCTCCTCCTTCTCACTCACCCCTTCTCTGCTCCCCTGGTGCATTACCCCGGGGGCCAATGGCCCTCAGATCTACCACTCAATCTCCAGCTCTCCCGAGGCCTCTCCAATAAGAGACATCTGTGGGGAGTTCACCTCCTTATATGAAACGAGGCAAAAACTAAACTTCTCCTCATCTTCCTCCCAAGCCTTTGTACCAGGAAAACGGTGATCTACTGGTCTGTAGACCACTCCCTTGCATCCAGCAGCTAAAACGATCTCCCTTTCCCACTGCTCTGTTCCTCTTCCCACCACCAGCCTCCTTGAGTCCATTCACTGCCTCCCCGTTTCTTTCCACGTACAGTTCAAATTCCTCACCCTCACTTGTCAGGCTCTGTACAGCTGTGCCTGGCCCCATCCCACTCCCTACTCCTGCAGTTTTCCCTGGCACTCTGCCCAACCCTCTCATCTCGCTCCACCCTCTCTCCTCCCACCCTTGTCCCTTCTTTCCCTTTTCATGCTGCTCCCTATGCCTGCAATGCCATCCCTCTTGGTCTGCGCCAGGCACCACTGCTCTGCTCCTCAGAACATGCATCTCTTGCTTAGCACAAGAATGGAGCTCAGTGGTACAATCTACTCCCCAATTTAAAATGCCGGAATCTACACGATACAACTGCTATCTGACCCCCATCATTCTCATCTGTCTTAACCTTCATCTCCCCATCCCTATACTTCCTTTGCTAACTTCATATCAGTATTTGTCTAATCTATACCGTAGGTTCCCGTGGCAGGGACCATCATTTTTGACCTCTATGCACTGCCGTGCGGTTAAAGGGCTGCCCAAATGCTTATTAGTAACAAAGAACGGCAGCAACTCTGGCACTAGGTGTCCTTAACTGTGTCGTTCAGGTGGGTACAGTACCTTTCATTTTTGAGTGACAGTCGAGCACTGGATCATGACAGATTGTGCAGGGCCACCACGGTCGTCTGTTGAACTTAGCCCAGACTAGATCTCCAACGTCATACTTCACTGGAGCAGGTTTCTTCTTGGCTCGATTCTTTGGACAGAAATCAGAACATGAGGAATCAAGTAAGTGACAGACACCTTTGAAGAAAGTCTCACATCTCATTGGAACATCATCGGACAATCACCAGTGGTGATTTCTATTTTTAAAAAAAGCTAATATTTCTTGTTCGGACATCTTTCACAGGACACCAACAATTTCCTCCCCCCCCCCCTTCCCAATCCACTGTAGCCAGACATCACACCGTTCAGCAGTAAAAGCTTTCAGCTCATAGCCAACACCAATTACTATCCAGTTCAGTCAGATGTCTTAGTTCACAGACAAGGAAGCAGAATATCCTGAGGCAGTTCTGTCTGGAAGGTGGCGATCAGAACAACAGATGCACAATATCTGCCACTGAGTAAAGGAAAAGTGCTGGGCACATACAAGCTAATATTACTCTGCTTCTCAGACAAATGCAGGAAACGGAGTTTGCTGATAAAACACTTTATACTACACTGAATGCATGTATGGTCATGATATCTTTGCCATTTCTCTGGCAGTTTGGTTTATGCATGCAGAACCACAGCTGCTCCCCCTCCCAAAATCCACGGGAGTGAGAGAGCAGGCAAGCCTGCATTGTCAGTCTGTCACCTTTATGAAAGGAACCAAACTATAAAATCCGAGTGTGACTGGCGGAGACATGGCTCACTGGGAGGGGCATCAAGACAGGCGCCACACCTGCCTCCAGAAGCCACACCTGAATTTCTGTTACTGGTTAGGAAATTGAATGCCCAAATCCACATGGTATCACAAGTCTACACATAGGCAGGTGGGCGAGCTATTTCAGGGGAGTCAGGGGCCAGCTCCACTAAGGAGAATGAGCCAACCCAGATCCACCTGTGAGTTGTTAATTACCAATGTGGCTAGGCAGCAGTTAAGTAATTAAGGAACACACAGGCCTTATAAAGGTTATAAGAGCTGAGGCAGGGGGACACCAGAACACAAAGAGGCAGGTCTTGAGGAAAGGGGCTTCTCAGGGGAGCTGGTTAGAGAACGCACCAGAAAAGGGGACCTAGGAAAGGGGCTCCTGGAGGGAGCAGGTTCCAAAAGTGCTACAAGGGGCAAAGCCCTAGGGAGGCCTGGTCGCAGCAAAAGGACCTTACCAGGCAGCAGCAAAACGTCCAGATTGCTGGGGAACTACGCACAGCTCCAGAGAAGAGCTGCAGCAGTTTGACCTCTGCGGGGCCCTCAGTCCAGAGAAAGAACCCTTCCCTAGGTGATGGCAGGAGCCTGACTCCAGAAGAGGGCCCCGGGTCAAGAGGGCCTTACTGGTGAACAGCCTGGATGAAGGAGATGGAGGGACTCAGGTGGGGAAAACAGACTAATATGAATTCGCCCCCAGCCCCAGTTAGACCACTGGGATGGTGACTTGCTTGCCTGTCTGTTCAGCCTTTCATCAAATGAAATAGCAAAAGACCTGCAGGTAGCCTTGTGGTATCTTGTGCCCTTCTGGAACGTTGAGTTCAGCAAAACTCCAACTCCTGAAAACCAGGAAATAGAGTTACAGTAAAAGCCTGTGCAACCTTAACTCTGCCCCCCCTGGAGCTGGCAACAGCCACTGGGAATTACCTGCATGCTCTCCAGCTGCACTCAGTCTGTTAGGGATAGCTGTACTGAATGGTGGAGGAATATGTTGGAGTAGCTTGGAAGAGCTGTGACTGTGATATGAGGAGATCTGGGTCTGAATCAAAGGAGGAACATATCTATCTTGAGGTTCCAGTCTGCATCATGTCAATCAAGTTGTGTGACTTGTGTCAGCAGTGGGCACTGGGGCACTCTTGCCATGGGTACCGTCAGTAGTGAGGTGGGAGCAGTCCAGATTTAATGATGGGTAGGGGAAAGTGTAGGTTTAGCTGGGCTGCTGTGTGCAAGAGTGAAGGGGCCATAAAAGGTACAAAAACAGTTGTTAAATGTGACAAGTGTGCTATTCGGGAGCGGGGGGGGGAGAAAGCAGATGCAGTGTTTGAGCACAGGGCAAGTGAAGGAAGCGCCTGTTCATTACCGAGACAAGGCAGAGTGGGAGTGCAGGTGTGATGGATCTGTTGGGGTATCGCTCCAAGAGGGGCAGAGTTAAGGTTGTGTGGACATTTACCTGAAGTCTGTATGTCCTGGTTTTCAGAAGTCTGAGTTCTGGTGAACTCGATATTCTAGAAGGGCACAAGCTCACACCAGGCAGCCTTAACTCTGTCAGTGTTTTGGCCATTTAATTTCTTAGGTTTTGTTAAAGAAATGTCTGTTGGCAGGAGTTAGTAGTCATTGAGACAGTTTCAGTTCTCACCTAGATTTGCAGCTGATAGGCTCCTGTGGCTAGGTAATAAGTAACTCGCTTTCACACAGTGCTTTTCATAAGCAGATTTCAAAGAACTTTCCCCTTTAAATGAGAAACTGAGTCACAGAAGTGACATGACTTACCCAAGGTCGCCCACCAGGCTGTGACAGAGCTAGGAATAGTCCCAGTTCAGTGGTCTTTCCACTGGGCCATACAGCTGCTGTGTGGTTACATAGTGCTCCTTCGCCCCACCCCAGTACATGTTGTTAGTGTGCAATGGGGACAATGGTGGGTCAGAGCCAGCGAGAGAAACCTCACCCCTGATCTCGGTCCCCAAACCTTGCCAGTTTTATCACACGGATGTTAGAGTAACATTAAGCACATGAGAAGACTGGGGTCTCTCTCCACCCCTCCCACCATTCTCCTGAACATGGATCGTCCCACCCTGCCAACGTCTCCAGCTCCCCCTTCCCACCCCATCCCACGGTGCCACTCGCTGCACTGCAGAGGCCAATCACATGTCAGAAGCTGCTCCTTGCGGTCTCTTGCCCTGTGCCGCTACATACATGTATCTCAGGCTGCAGCTCACTAGAGGGCCGCCTGCCAGCCAGAGCTCTACACTGAGCCCAGCCCCTCATTCCCACTCCCCATCCCGAGTCGCTCAGCTAAACTTCCGCCATGCCCCAGACCCATCCCGTCCACCCCTCCCGCAAGCCACCCCACACACAAAGGGGGGATATCTTAACTATTCACTTTTTGGATTTCAGATGTTTAAATCTGTTACCCTAAGGCCCTGTCCCCCATGAGATCCAGGCTCACATGGAGGAGCAGGAGGAGGGGCTTAGACCCTTTCAGGGGGGTAGACCTCCCTGAGATCCCACATGCACATGAAGGTGAGAATTCAGGACTGACATCCCCCACTCCTAGCCCCCCAACTTCCTTGGCTAGCCCTGATTCTCCAACCCCTCGTTTTCCCCCAATCCCCCCCTTGCCTAAGCTCCCCTACCACCCATTCCCATGTATACCCCTCTCCATATTACCCCCATCTCCCACTGCACACCTAAACCCTCACCCCCAAATCACCCCTCCTCTCCCAGTGAGCATTCACACATGGAAATGATTTTCAAAAATAGTTTCAGAGCCTTCTGAATATTCGGCTGTGCTCAGATTAAATTTCTCCTAAATTAATAAATCAAACTTGACAGGGGCAGATTTTTCCCACATGTGTACAGTTCGTTCTCAGATTTCCTCCCAGGATGGGTTCAGAGTTGCAGACTCGGAGAGGTGTGAAGTGGCCCATTCACCTTACTGAGACGTTTTCAGCTGAAGGAAAGCACCTGATGGAGATGACTATAGCCTGAAACAATAGCTAAGAGACCTGTGGATTGTTCCATGCATGTCAGTGGGTGTGCCCATCTCTTCTCCCCACTCCCCCTGGGTGCAGGAGAGTTTCTGACATGAGTCAAGCATACCTGTTATCAGCTCCTCAACCCAGTCTCAGCAGTATGTTCTTGATGCATGCTCTGAGCATGCCTGTTCTCAGCTCCCCAGAGGGGCAGAGCTTCCTCAACTCACATAGGGGCAGGGAGAGGGCTCCGATACCCTGGAAAAACAAGCCATCTCCAGAACCTGGCTCACATGAAGGGGTCAGACTCCAGTGGATGGGCAGGAGCCCCCCAGAGCCTAGTGCATACAAGGGGGCAGAGACCAGGGCTCAGGCTCCACTTCGGGGGGGCAGGGACTCCCAAATCCTAACTCACATAGGGAGAAAAAGCAAGGCCTCTCCCTCCCACTCCCGCGAACCTGGCTCACATGAGGGGAGTCTCATCCCCAGGGCACAGCACATATGTGGGAGGGGTATGTGGGACTGACAGGCACCCCTGCTCTTACTTTCCCTCTGACTCCCTGTCCTTCACCTTCATGACCCTCTTCCCTTCCTGCCACTGCACCTAGTCCCCATCAGCTGATCCCCCAACACCTCTCCCCCATTCCCAACTACTCTTCCACCTCTAATCACCCTCCCCCCAAACAGCGATTTCATGTGTAGCTTATTTTCTTTTCAAAACACCTTCAGCATCTTCTGTGCCCTGGTCTATACTACAAACTTGTGTCGCCCGCGGTGTGGAAACATCCACCATCCTGAGCAACACAGTAACACTGACCCACCCAACGCTCGGTGTTGATGGGAGGGCTTCTCCGGTTAACCCAGCTACTGCCTCTCAAGGAGGTGGAGCACGATGCCTATGGGAGAGCTTCTCCTGTCGGCACAGGTCGCGTCTTCAGTCAGCACTACAGCTGCGCCCCTACAGTGCTGTAAGCGTAGACAAGCCCTGAATAATCTGCTGTACTTAGAATTACGTTGACGGAAAAACCCCTACGTCAGCACAGGAAGCGCGGACACCATGGCACTGCAGCCGCTGTACCACAGACATCCCCAGAGGGCTGGTCTAGGCATGGAACACGCATCCGATGGGAAGGTTTCTCCTGTTGGCAGAGGTAATCCACCTCCCTGAGAGGAGGCAGCTAGATTGACAGAAGAGTTATTCTGTCACCCCGCACTGTCTACATCGGGGCTAGGTCTGCTTAACAGAGCTATGCAGAGGTAAGTTTTCAGTGTAGACCAGCCCCTAGACTCTCTGGAATTCTGACCAATATGTGCCAATGACACTGTGGCTAACTGAATTCATCTTTTTGAAGGAAGTGTATGTTTCTAGCAAATCTA